GCCTGAGGGGCGGGGTCGCCAGCGCGGCGGGACGCGCGGCTACGGTGTTCCCCTCTGGTAGCATCCCGAAGCCGTGGGAGGGGGCGCCCCGGCTGGCCCGAGCGCAAGTTCTCCCGCCCCCTGCCGGGCCCCGCCTCAGGGCGCCGACCCCTTCCCCACCACCCGGGACCCGGGCCGCCGCGTACCTGCAACCTCCGGCGGCGGATCAGGCCCGAATCGTCCATGGCGGCGGCGGCTTCGGCCCCGGGGAGGGAGGAGGGAGGAGGGAGGTGGCGGCTGCGGCGGCGGCGGCGGGAGGAGGGAAGAGGGAGGGAGTGAGAAGCCGCGGGGACCGCGGCGGCGGCGGCGGCGGCGGCGGCGAGTAGGGGGGGGGCCTGGGGGGTGGCGGGGGCGGAGCAAAGTGGGGCGGACCCGGCGCTGTCACTGCGTCTGGGCGCCCGAGCCTGGCCTCGGCCAAGGCTGCCCGCGCGGCGGGGTGGGAGGGGGCAAGCGAGGGAGGAGCTTCCCTATGTCCCCAAGGGAGTCAAGCTACGGAGATACCCCTAAAAGTAGAGCCACCCCAGGGGAGAGACATGCCCATGGGTAGACCTCCAACCCAAGAAACACCCAAGGGAGACGTTCTCACTAAAATTATTCCTTATGCGGATACCCACCCCTCCCGTCAGCGACCCCCTCAGGGAGACACATTCCCACGGGTTGATAGTCTCCACCGGAGGTCCTCTTCAATCAGAAACTCCCCCCTCGCCCTGAAAATCATTCCTAAGGCAGATGGTCTCTGAGAGGTAGCGCTTCCTCTCAAAGCCCCCTGCCGCCCCCAAGAAGAGACACTTCCTCAGAGAAAAATCCCCACGGGTGACATTTTCCTTGGAGAGCCTGGTAAAGATACCCCCAAAGAAAGACCCCCTAAAAACCATATTCTCTGTGGGAAATTGTTCCCACCCACGAGACCCTCACATCCTGCGGAGATACATTCTTACAGAGTGACATTTGCATTGAGGACACCCATCCTCAAGGGAGTTGTTCCCACAGACAAACATTTTGCCTGCATATACCGCCCCCCTTCCCAATCAGAGCCTCCTCGGGGAACGCTGCAGCCCCTCTAACGACCCCCTCCCTCACCGTCAGGATTAAGTAGCCAGGTCAGGCTGGGCTGTATTTATAGGACCGATTAGTGGTAGTTTGGGAGGGGGGGCAGCTGACGCGATTTTCACACACACACACCCGCAGTGTTCCTATAGCTGAGACCAAGCCGACCATGCTTCTCAGAGTTGGTGTGGAAAGCATCGGTGACCTCCCCACTCTAGGCATTAGGGGCCAGGGTGGGGAGGGGGCGACCGGAAAGCCCTGGAGGGCGCGGTCACTGGGCGGGAGCGACCCCTGCCGGCCAATGAGTGCGACGACAAGGTCTAGGTCCAGGTGTTCCCCAGACATTTGTTTCCTCATCTCTGCGCCTTTGCCTGAGTTATCTCAGTGTTTCTCTCTGTCTCTGTTTGTCGGCATGTTTGTTTGCCATCCCGCTAAGTCTATTCTTCGAACTTCTCTGTCAAAGTCCCAGATTCCGCTCTTGTCGCCCCTTCTAAAGCAAGCTGTCTCGGGAGCTCTCCGTGGTGCTGATCTCACACGCTCCTGTCCGCGGTGCTGAATTCCGAGGGCGGGTTTGGGGGCTGAGGTCAGGGGAGGGGAAGGGTTGGCAGGAGGCACAGCCCAAAGACTGGACAGATATGACACACGAGCACCCTGGACTACCCAAAATGGACTAGGGGAAGGCTAGATCCATTAGGTCTTGGTTGCTGACGCCTATAGGACATCACTGTGTGGGTACCCCTGGAGGGGCCAGGAGACAGGGCCTTCTGATTCATTAATTTACTCAACAAGTACTGAGCACCTACTGTGTACAAAGTAGTGTTTTGAGATCTGGGAGTTCCTCAGTGAAAGAGACAAAACAAAAACTCTGCATTAGCCTGAGAAGGGAAAGAGAATTGTGGTAGTAGTCATTGCTCACAAAAACACATATGCACACACTACAAGCACAGGTACACACACACACACACACACTGCAAACATACACACAAACACGAACATACCAACACATGCTCAGGAAACAGACTCACATACACATAGTCACACACTGCAAATATGTACTCCTCAAAAATACACACACATACACATTCTCAGCAAACACAGACTCACACACAAACACACATACACGTTTCCAAATATGCACTTAGCAAACGCAGACACACTGAATCATATGCAAACACAAAAACACAGAATACAGACAGATAATCAGCAAACACAGGCACACACAAACACATATACACATAAACTCATGCTCTGCAAAGACACACACATGCAAGCACCTACTGAGAAAACAGACATACACACACTCAGCAAATGCAGACACACACAAGTAACATGTACACTCAACAGACACAAGCACACACACATAATACAAAAACCAAGAGAAGCTCAGCTACACACAAACTCTCATCCAACACACAGACACAGTATCCTACCCACACAACACACGGACACACATATACACTCACATACACACTACAGGACTGCTCATCTCGCCAGGGTCTCCCACTAGAATGTAAGCTCTCGGAAGGTGAATTTTTTAGAAGATTTTATTTGAGCACCTGGGTGGCTCCGTTGGTTAAACAATTGCCTTCTGCTCAGGTCATGATCCCAAAGTATTGGGATTGAGTCCTGCATCAGGCTCCCAGCTCCACCGGGAGTCTGCTCCTCCTTCTGATCTTCTCCCCTCTCATGTTCTCTCTCTCAAATAAATAAATAAAATCTTTTTTAAAAAATATTTTTAAGGGGTGCCTGGGTGGCTCAGTGGGTTAAAGCCTCTGCCTTCGGCTCAGGTCATAATCCCAAAGTCTTGGGATTGAGTCCCACATCAGGCTCCCAGCTCCTCAGGGAGTCTGCTTCTCCTTCTGATCTTCTCCCCTCTCATGTTCTCTCTCACTGTCTCTCTCTCATATAAATAAATAAAATATTTTTTAAAAAAATTAAGGGGCACCTGGGTGGCTCAGTGGGTTAAAGCCTCTGCCTTCAGCTCAGGTCATGATCCCAGTGTCCTGGGATCAAGCCTAGCATCGGGCTCTCTGCTCAGCAGGGCTCCTGCTTCCCTTCCTCTCTCTGCCTGCCTCTCTGCCTACTTGTGATCTCTGTCTGTCAAATAAATAAAATCTTTTTTTAAAAGATTTTAAAATTTTTATTTATTTATTTGTCAGAGAGAGAGTGAGTGCACACAAGTGGGGAGTAGCAGGCAGAGGAAGAAGCAGGCTCCCTGCTGAGCAAGGAGCCTTATGCAGGAAGGACTTGATCCCAGAACCCTGGGATCATGAACTGAGCCAAAAACAGATGCTTAACTGACTGGACCATCCAGGCATCCCAAGGTTGAGGTTTTCATTTCTTTTTTTTTTTTAAAGATTTTATTTATTTATTTGACACAGAGAGAGAGAGAGATCACAAGTAGGCAGAGAGGCAGGCAGAGAGAGAGGAGGAAGCAGGCTCCCTACTGAGCAGAGAGCCCGATGCGGGGCTCGATCCTAGGACCCTGAGATCACGACCTGAGCCGAAGGCAGAGGTTTAACCCACTGAGCCACCCAGGTGCCCCGAGGTTTTCATTTCTTGATCACTACTGCATCCCCTGAACCTGACACACAATAGGTGCTCCATAAACATTTGTTGAATGAATGGATGAATTGAGAGAATGTTTGCAAAAAACTCACATTCACAGAAACTGCAGAGGAACACACACACACACACACACACACACACACACACACACACACACGTTTCAGATACAGACACACCCTCTCCACACAGGTCAACACCCCCTTGTTCACTAATGGTCACCATTCATGGTCAACAGCATTTATCCACTGACTCATCCACAATATTTTCACAGGATGGCCATCCTGACCCTACATACCCCCCCTCACATTTATTATATCTTACCCAATTGGACACACTTGGCTTGGAACACATAAAGACTTCCTCACCCAGATTTTGAATACACACACACACACACATACAACCAGTCAACCAAGAGACACACATACTATACCCTCACACAACAAACATACACTCTCTCCACACACACAGACACACAAACACACTTTCATCCAACACACATACACATAGAGTTTAAGCCATCATCTCAACATAAAGGTCAATGCAGAGATATATACAACGCAGTCCCAGGTCCCCTGGCCTTTGGTCAGTTGGAGCAGGGGGTGGGGCAATGGGAAACTCCTCCTCTGCATCAAACCACACCCCTTTGGCCGCCACTCTTTCCTGCACTTGACCCTGCCGTGTCTCAGCAGCACCCTAGACACCCGTCCAGTTAACAGGTGAGGGGTGGCCAGAGGGGACAGGGGAGGGGAGGGAGTTGTCTTGTCTCCACAGACCCTCAGCTTCCCCTACCATACAGCTTTAGAACCCCAGCGGCAAAACTAGAGTCCTGCCACAGCCAAGCTTGGCTCCGAAGGACCAGCTCTGGTGGCAGCCCCTAAGCCGATTGTGGGCCGAGAGAAGGTGACCATGAGAGGGGCCAGCACGGATCAAGAGGGAGGGAGGAGACTGGGCAGAAGAGAGAGAGGAATTACTGGACAGAAGAGAGAGACTGAAAGAGCTGGGGAGTCCCTTTAGTTCTGAAGACAGAGGGGATCACCTAAGGGCCAACAGGGTGGGAGACCCTGCTGGGTGTGACGGGGAGGGGCACCACGGTCCAACTAGAGGAGGGGGCCCTTGGGCCTAAAGGGAGGGACATGAGTCTGATGGGTGAGAAGGGACTCCTGGGTCAGAGGCAGGACTTGATGATCCCCTGGGATTTGAAGGTTCTTGATCATTGCCTCCCCATCAACTGCTCATTCTCTGCTCTCCCTGGCACTGTCTCCTGGGTCCACATCAGGAGGGTACAACCCTGAGCTCCCAGATAGAGTCAGCCAAACCTTACCCCATACCCCAGCTGATTCTTGTCTCAGGTGGACATGGCCTGCAGGGGCCACACTCGACCCAAGGGCCTGACCTGGGCCCTAGGACTGACCCTGGCTTGGATCCTGCTGGGAGCCTGTGGAGGAAGCCGCCCACTCCCAGCTATGTCCCGGAGACACCACAGGCTGGCAGCCGATCTTGGCACAAGCCAGCTGCACCTTGCAGGTGAGCACTCCAGACCCTGCCTAACCTCCAACACCTAAGAAATCCCATTTCACCATAGCAATACCAGAATCTCCTTATGAGAGGGGCTTGGGGTGACACGTGTGGGGGAAGATGGGGAGTCAGGGCTTGTGCTAAAGAATGGTAGTTAAAGGGGCACCTGGATGGCGCAGTCGGTTAAGCTTCTGCCTTCAGCTCAGGTCATGATCCCAGGGTCCTGCTTCTCCCTCTCCCTCTGCCTGCCATTCCCCCTGCTTGTGCTCTGTGTGTGTGTGTCAAATAAATAAACAAAATCTAAAAAAAAAAAAAAAAAAGAATGGTAGTGGGGCACCTGTGTAGCTCAGTCATTAAGTGTCTGCCTTCGGCTCAGGTCATGATCCCAGCATCCTGGGATCTAGCCCCTCATCGGGCTCCCTGCTCAGCGGGGAGCCTGTTTCTCCTTCTCCAGCTTCCTCCTGCTTGTGTTCCCGCTCTTGCTACCTCCCTCTGTCATAAATAAATAAAAATCTAAAAAAAAAAAAAAAAAAAGAGGGGGGGGCCCCTGGGTGGCTCAGTGGGTTAAAGCCTCTGCCTTCAGCTCAGGTCATGATCCCAGGATCCTGGGATCGAGCCCCATATCAGGCTCTCTGCTCAGCAGGGAGCCTGCTTCCCCCTCTCTTTCTGCCTGCCTCTCTGCCTACTTGTGATCTCTGTCTGTCAAATAAATAAATAAAATCTTAAAAAAAAAAAAAGGTGGGGGGAATGTTCGTTAAAGTGCACAGATTCTGGAGTCAGACTTCCTGGATTCAAATCCCAAACCCAGGTCTGCCACTTCATAACTGGTTGATTCTGAGCAAGTCACTTACCTCTCTGGGCTTCTTGTAGACCCTTAAAAAGGGAAAAAAAATAATAGACCTACCTCATTAGGGGTATTGTAAAGCGGTATATGTAAGTATGTGAAAACATACCATTATCAGGGACATAATTAAGCTGATTATGATAAACTATTACTATCCGAAATTGCATTTGTGTCCCAAGAGAAGTGTCTTTATTTAAGTTTAATGTTTGGGCGGCACTGACATAACTGGGGTTATGTTCAGGGGACCCCCATGCCTTGCTTCCCCAATCCTGAGGATACAAGACCCTAACTCACAGGAGTCCCCTTCTCCATGCTCCTATTGTCCTATTGTCAGAGATGGACACACCAGAGGCATTGGACCCTGGGATGGCCCCAGAACGCTGTGGGGACCCGAGCCCCGGGTGAGTACGGTACTCGCCAGCCTTTCCTTGTGTTCGTTGCTCCAGTTAACCCTGCCAGGGACCACCGCCCCTGCGCATCCTGACCCAAATGATCCTATCTTTCCCGATGTTCAGGTGCGAATCCTTTCTGGGACACCTCCAAGTTGCCCTCCACAGTCGCTTCCGCCTGCTGTTACTGGGGATACGCCAGGCCCAGCCGCTCTGTTCCGAGCTCTGCGATGTCTGGTATGGGAGGCGGGGCGCGAGGGGCGTGTCCTATGGTTTGGGCGGGACCAAAGGCCGGATGGGCAGTTTCCTCCGCCTAGTGTTTGAAGGGGTGTGGCCTGCCTCCAACAAGGCCATGGTCTAAACTGGAGGCCTAGTGTTTAGAGGCCAGGTGGAAAGGGGCGGGGCCGTAAAGGACCTGGCTTTTGAGGTTGGCGGTACCGAGGTGAGACCTTCCATAGACCTGGGCTTTTAAGGGGCGGGGCCTCCTGATAGAAAAGAGACGCTAAGAAGGTGGGGAATGCAAGGGGCTGGCCGAAGTCTGTTGGGAGGAGGTCAGCTGTGCCAGGGCCCTGGGTATGTGTGAAGAATATAGGGCAGGGTGATCTGGGGGCGGGACATACACGAAGCGAAGACTTGGAGGGCTGGAAACCCGCTAGGACGCGACTGCGGAGACTTTACCCACTTTCTCTCTACACACCATCCACAGGTTTGCCACATGTGAAAGCGATATTACCTGCGGCCCGACTTGGCTCACAATCCTAGAAAAGAGGGGCTGTGAGCCTGGCTGCCCTACCTATGAGCAGGTGAGCTTGAGATAGAGGTGCAGGAGAGAGACCTCCACTTACTATGTTCTATCTTAACCCGCCTAGGCCCCAGGGTCCTGACTGATACTCCCAAGGCCCCTGCTCCCACCCTTCCCCCGTCCGCACCCCAACCTCCATAATGGGATAAGTCTGTAAGCTCTGGATTTGGCCTCCCCAAGGCGCCGTCTCTGCTCTAGGCCCATCCACAATTACCTCTGGAAGACCCAGAAGCTCAGATCACCTTCCCTAAGGCCTCAGCCTTAATCTGGCCCTCCCCCACCCCAACCATGGGACCCAGCAAAAATAACTCGGCCTCCCAGGACTCGGTTCCTGTTATGGCCCCGCCCCCACACTCTCCGTAGGACCCAAAGCGGGTACTTGCCCACCCCTAGACGGCACCTCTACACTGGCCCCTACTTGCAAAGTCCGGGATTTTCCTTTTCCAAGGCGGTGCCCCTCAGCCCTCCCTCCCCTCAGCCCGAAGGCCACGCCCCCAGAAGTACCTGGACTCCGCCCACTCGGACCCTAAGTCCACACCCTCCCCCAGACCTTCGCTGACGGGGCGGAACTTTGCCGCTCGGTTCTGGGCTACGCGATGCCGGTGGCAGCTCCTGGCGCCGGTCACTGCCTCAACATTTCCACCTTGGTACTGCCGGGTTCCAGACGGGAAGGGAAGGCCCGAGAAATCACCTTCCTGCGTGCCCGCCGCTCACGCACCTGGATGCTGGATGCCGCAGGCAGCGGGAGTGGCAGTGGAAGCGGCAGCGGCCCCTAGGGGGCGCCGGGCCTTGGATGGGAGATGGGAGTCCCTTCCCCCGACCCGGCCCCTCAAGATACCAAAAGCTCCACCTCTCTCCCGCTCTGCCTTCTAGTTTCCAGAGCCCTGTCTCTCCTTCCTGGAGTCCCAGAGACTCGCCCTTCTCCAGGTGACTAGACAAAGAATCCAACTCTAGCTCATCTTCCCCTCTCCTCCCTGAATAAAGTCTCCAACTAGAGCACTGTGATGTGGCTGCTTCTTGGGGAACTAGGTGGCAAAATAGCTTGCAGAAAGTGATCGGTGTCTAACTTCAGATCCTCAGGTCCCACAGTTAGCAAGTGATACACACCAGCATGTAAATGACAGCCTGTATTCTGAGCACTTTCACAGGTGTCAGAAATGGAGAGGGGTCCAGAAGAGGGGCTGACGAGGGCAAGAGCTATGCTCCCCACTGTGTGCCATCAGGCACGTGAGGAAGCTCCTTGACTTGTATAGACCTCAAGACAAACTTCATGGCCCTCCCTCTGATTAAGCCGACCCAGCAGTTGCTGGCATGATCTCGCCATCATTATTTCTTCCTCCCTTTTCTTCCAAATCCCGGTTCCCGACGTAAGACAAAGAACTTGACTCAGATTTCAAATTTGGGATGTAAGTGCTACTCCTGATCCTGCTCTTATCCAAAAGCCTTAGGACAGCCCATTTCCTCACCAGGAAAACAGGGGAAATGTGCCTTTTAGTTCTATTCAATAGAATAAGATTGATGGATGGCTCCTGTACCCAGACACAGCTGTGATAGATCAGGTCCATTCTCTGTCCTCAGGGAAGATGGAAATGTGTAAGAGAAGAGCCTCACTGGGAGAATAGCAGATAGGCCTCTTTCAACTGCAAGAGACAAACTCAGTTCAAAGCACATTTAGCCAACAGTGAGAAGTTTCAGGAATGGCTGTATCTAGGTCCTTAAATGATGTTAGGAATCTACTTGTATCTTTCTCTCTCTCTTTTTAAATGATTGTATGTATGTATGTATGTATGTATTTGACAGATAGAGATCACAAATAGGCAGAGAGGAAGGCGGGGGGCAGGGGGAAGCAGGCTCCCCGCTGAGCAGAGAGCCCGATGTGGGGCTCGATCCCAGAACCCTGAGATCATGACCTGAGTCAAAGGCAGAGCCTTAAGCCACTGGGCCAACCAGGCGCCCCTTTATCTTTCTCTTGACTATACTACCGGACAGGATCTCCTCGCAACAGCAAAGATGGGACCAGCAACTACATGATTCCGTGGTTAAAATAGGCCTATTTCTCTGTAAAGCCAGCAATGTTTCCAGTGCTGGCACTCGGTGACCCTGCCTCATCGTGAGCCCATCACCAAACCAATCACTGTCCCCAAAGGAATGCTGTGCTCTCGATGGCCTGATGTGGGTTATGGGCTTGTGCCTGAAGGCCCAAGGTAGGGTCAGTTCCATCTGAACTGCATGGACTGAGGATGGTGGAGAGCTGCTCCCAAAGGAAAATCAGGTGCTGGGACCCGAAGGGAAAGGAGTGCTGGGGAGGGAATCAAGATATATGGGCCATAGAGACGTGGCTATGACCTGACTCTGGAGTAGGTCCATCTGGGTTCACATCCCTGTTCTACCACATACTCATGCCACAACTTTGTCAATGTTCCCCAGTCACTCTGTTTCTTTAACAAATGGGGAGAATTGTTCCTCTCCTAGGGTTGTTGGGATTAAGTTAATTAAATTAAATTAAAATTAATTAAATGAGCAAATGCAAATTGTTCTGGTTATACATTGCTGTGTAGCAACTCCAAACTTAGTGGTAGAAAACAGCAATCATTATTCTTTCCGGGTTCTTTTTTTTTTTTAAGATTTTATTTGTTTATTCGACAGACAGATCACAAGTAGGCAGAGAGGCAGGCAAAGACAGAGGGGGGAGCAGAGAGAGAGGTAGGCAGAGAGAGGGGGAGGCTTATCTATTTTCTTCCTTGAATGCTTATCCTTGTCACAATAATAGAGTCCAAAGCAGCAAGAGTGATAACAGATGATGTCTACATTTATTGAGTATTAATTATGTGCCAGGCACTTCCTAAATATTTTATGTGACCTCCCTCCCATGAGGAGGTGGAGTCTAGATGCTTCCCCTTAAATACAAGCCAGCTCTGGTGACACATCAGCAAACAGAGACGGGAGACGATGCTGGTTTCCAAGGCTAAGGAGTCAGAGAGGAGACCACTTCAACCAGACTTGGAACCCTTGCTCTTGGAGCCCAGATGCCATACTGTGCGGAAGCCCAAGCCACCGGGACAGGCAACGTGTAGCAATTCTGGTCAGCAGCCCCAACTGAGGTTCAAGGCAAGACTCAGTGCCAACCACCGGATGTGTGAATGAAGACGCCTTTAAGGGGATTCCTAGCCCCAGCTAGCATTTAGGTGAACCAGAACCATCATCAGAACTCAGAAAGAGGGGCATCTGGGTGGCTCAGTGGGTTAAACCTCTGCCTTCGGTTCAGGTCATGATCTCAGGGTCCTGGGATCGAGCCCCGCATTGGGCTCTCTGCTCAGCAGGGAGCATACTTCTCCTTCTCCCTCTGATGCTCCCCCTGCTTGTGCTCTCTCGTTCTTTGTCAAAATAAAATCTTTTTTAAAAAATCACATTTGCAAATTACATCTTAGGTTGCTGACTAGCTTCTGCTTATGGCCAGCTGTGAAGAAAGGGGGAGAGTTTATCTTGTCCTGGCAAATTCCATCAGCAGTCAGAAGAGCCTATAAATTCAAGATAAACTGTAATTATAACAATTTGGGAGGGGAAAAAAATGGAAATCCAAAACTGAGGGCCAAATGTATGAAAGCATACATTTACAAATTTACAGCATGGAAAAGGACAGGGCAGAATTATTAATGGACTCTGGATGGGTAAACATTTTGCAACTGCAGTGATAACCAGAGGCTGTGGCTTGAATAGAGGGATTCCCCTCAGGTGGGGAAATGGGGAGGCCACAGTTCCCCCCACCAAGGTCTGCCTTCACTATCCCTGCCCTCAGGCAAGCCCTCTTCCCCCTCCTGTTCTGTTCCACCCCTCACCCTTCAGATCTCCGCCATTCAGCTCCTCGGGCTCTGGAAATCAGGGCTGCCATCCTCACCATGCACTCCTGAGGTCCTCTGGACCTCGGTGCATACTCAGAGACCTTTTGTAGCTGGGTCAGTGCTGGCTTCCTGGTGACCAGCACGGGACCTATATGGAGTGGAGAGGTAACCAGTTATGGGGCTGAATTGTATCCCACTCCCCAAATTCATGTTGAAGTCCTAACCTCAGTACCTCAGAATGTGATTATATTTGGATAGAGTCTTTAAAGAGGTAATTAAAGTAAACTAACGTCATACCGATTGGCCATAATCCAATTACTGGAGTCCTTAAAAGAAGAGATTAGGGGCACCGTAGGAGATTCAGTCGGTTAAGCCTCTGCCTTCAGCTCAGGTCATGATCTCAGGGTCCTGGGATCGAGCCCCCCATGTTGGGCTCCAGCCCTATGTTGGGCTCCCTGCTCAGTGGGGAACCTGCTTCTCCCTCTCCCTATGCCCCTCCCCACCACTCATGCTCTCTCTCTCAAATAAAGAAGAAGGAGGAGGAGAAAGAGAAGTGGACACAGACATGCACAAAGGGAAGATCTTGTGAAACACAGGGAGAAGATGGCCATCTACAAACCAAGGGAAGAGGCCTCAGAAGCAATCAACCCTGAGACGCCTCGGTTAAGTCTCTGCCTTCAGCTCAGGTCATGATCCTGGGGTCCTGGAATCAAGCTCCGTATTGGGCTCCTTGCTCAGCTGGGAGTCTGCTTCTCCCCTTCCCTCCTGTTCGTGCTCTCCTTGCTACGTCTCAAATAAATAAATCTTTTTTTAAAAGTATTTTATTTATTTATTTGACACAGAGAGAGAGATCACAAGTAGGCAGAGAGGCAGGCAGAGAGAGAGGGGGAAGCAGAGAGCCTGATGCGGGGCTCGATCCCAGGACCCTGAGATCATGACCTGAGCTGAAGCAGAGGCTTAACCCACTGAGCCACCCAAGTGCCCCTCAAATAAATAAATCTTAAAAAAAAAAAAAAAAAAAAAACCAACCTTGCCAACACCTTCGTCTTGAACTTCCAGCCTCCAGAACTGCGAGAAAATAAACTTGTTTAAGCCACCCAGCCTATGGCACTTTGTCATGCAGCCCTAGCCGACTAACACCCGCCCCATAAATAATATTCCCACGATGCCCTCGGCTTCTGCCAACAGAACATTTACTAACAAATGAAAAGCCATCCTCTTTCTTCTTCTCATGAAATCGCTACCGCTCAAGTCAAGGAGGGGTCAAGGATGAGGGAATGAGGGGCACCTGGGTGGCTCAGTGGGTTAAACCTCTGCCTTCGGCTTGGGTCATGATCCCAGGGTCCTGGGATCGAGCCCCACATCAGGCTCTCTGCTCAGCAGGGAGCCTGCTTCCCCTGCTCTCTCTGCCTGCCTCTCTGCCTACTTCTGCCTAACTTGTGATTTCTCTGTCAAATAAATAAATAAATAATCTTTAAAAAAAAAAGGATGAGGGAATGAAGTGGTGGGGGGAGGCTACTGGGTCTCTCCCACCTCCAAGTACCAGTTCTTTTTTTTTTTTTTAAGATTATTTACTTGTCAGAGAGATAGAGAACACAAGCAGGGGGAGCTGCAGGCAGAGGAAGAAGCAGGCTCCCCACTGAGCAAGGAGCCCAATTCAGGACTGGATCCCAGGTACCTGGGATCATGACCTGAGCCAAAGGCAGACGTTTAACCGACTGAGCCACCCAGGCATCCCTCCTAGGTACCAATTCTTAACTGGTTCTTTTTACCCCAGATATTCCATTCCCCCTAACAGGGATTGCTTTGGGCATAGATATGTCCTACTTTCAGCCAGGAAGTGACAGGGCAGCTGTTTGGAGGTGAGGCCTTTGGAGGTTGAGATGTGATGTCTGGAACTCTGGCAGCCATAGTAGGCCCATGAGAGGCAAAAAACACCAAAGATGGCAAAATAGAAGACGAGTTTTGTTTTGTCTTGTTTTTTAAAGATTTTATTTATTTGACAGACAGCGCAAGTAGGCAGAGAGGCAGTCAGAGAGAGAGGAGGAAACAGGCTCCCTGCTGAGCAGAGAGCCCGATGTGGGGCTCGATCCCAGGACCCTAAGATCATGACCTGAGCCAAAGGCAGAGGCTTTAACCCACTGAGCCACCCAGGTG